AAACTAGGTGATAAGCGCTACGTAGGTCTAACTTCGTAAAGATGGTTGCTCCCTGTAAGAGTTCGAAGGCCGAAGACATCAGCGGCAAGGGATGACTATTCTTGACCATGATGTCATTCAGCCCCCGATAATCAATACAGGGCCGGAGCGAACCATCCTTCTCCACGAAGAAAAACCCCACCCCAGCTGGAGAGGAAGAAGGACGTATGATACCGGCTAATAGGGAATCATTAATATATTTCTCTATGGCCTCCATCTCAGGACCGGAGAGCGAATAAAGCCGCCCCTTAGGCGGAGAAGTGCCAGGTAATAAGTCTATCGCACAGTCGTACGGGCGATGCGGAGGAAGAGATGAAGCTCGGGACCTACTGAATACCGCCCTCAAGTCATGGTAGGCCTCCGGAACATCTGCCAGGTTCACCGGCTTTGGGGGTTCAGGGTTGTGCTTAGTAAGCCAGGTGTGCCCCAGAACTATTGGAGCGGAGGGAGAGTGAACAAGGAGAAACCAAATCTCCTCAATGTGATTGCCAGACATGGTCAAGTGAACGACTCCAGTGACAGATGTGATCCTGGTGAGCGGAGTTCCACAAAGTGTACTGGCAGAGATAGCTTCGGCTAAGGGAAAAACTGGAACCCTCCAGCTCCTGGCCAAATCGATATCCATAAAGTCCCCCTCCGCTCCAGAGTCAATAAGAGCTACAACAGGGTGGTCCTCCTCAGAGAACCCGAGTAGTGGCGGTGTGACGCTCCTAGCGCCAGGCTCTCGTGCCCGGTCTCCATGTGGTGGTGTTGAGCTCTAAGTGCCAGGCGGAAATCGACCCAAGTGGCAAGTTCGACCAGCCCATCGAGTGTGATGGGGAGCTCCAGGGAGTATATCTCATCCTTGATGCCCTCCGCCAGTCCATGGAGGAAATGGTCCCACAATGCCTTGTCGTTCCAGCCACTAGATGAGGCGAGTGTGCGGAACTCGATGGCATAATCCGACACTGGCCTGGTTCCTTGACACAGCAGAGAGAGTGCTCGTGCCGCTTCGTTACCCAGAGCTGACCGGTCAAAGACCTTCCGTAGCTCCTGGGAAAAACTTGTGTAGGAACTGCAGCATTCGCTCACATATTCACATAGCCGTTCCCCATTCTCTACCCATCCGAACACCAAGCCAGCAAAGGCGTGAAACACCAAAGTTAGGGGAATGCAGTGGTGTGGCGCTCCCTGCGCACACATTCACCAAGACGGGGCTGAGAAGAATACCGGAAACGTCCAGTGTTGTACTCCCAATCCGGCCTCACTGTCCACAACCGCAATAATAATTCCTCACCTGAGGATCCTGGAAATAGTGCAGAGAGTGTAGAGGAGAGTGAAAACTCAAAAATGCGCCCATACGGCACATAAGGACATAAGACATACCCACGCCGAAAGAAAGACAAAGACAGGAATATATAGGAAGTGGGAACGAGTACCAGGTGCGGGCTAATAGAGCGTGCAGCCCCATGAGTGAGTGCTGATTGCTCCACCATGTGTCTGAAACTGACAGGACCAAAACAACCACCACGTGCAAAAGGAGTCGGAGAAGGTACCGGTACTGACAAGTGATCTCTAACAGACACCCGGTAGAAAGTAACATGTGGAACTTAATGAATCCCCCATTGAAAAATAATCCTATTACCTGACTCTTCTGGCAAGATAATTGGCACAGAAATGGAGGGCCTTGCAAATGTCATCTCCTTTAGTGCAAGTCTCCTCTCTTCTAAGGCCAGCTTGGCCTTCTTGAGCTCAATTAGCTTCTCTTGAAAATTGTTGTCCCTGTGGTTGGCTTCTTTAAGGCATTGTCTAATGTCTTTTAAGACATCTAGTTTCTCCCTCTCCAGCTGCACTAAGTCCTGACTACAAGTAAAGACATTATCAAACTGCTGAGGTGTCGTGGCTGCAGTCTGGACAACAGAAGATGGAGGCTGAGACCTGGGAGGGTTGTTTGGAGGACTAGGAGATGGTAGGTGCTGGGAGATGGCAGGTGAAACTGATAGTTCCTCTGAACATGAAGGACCTGACTCAGGCTCAGGCTCAGGTTGAGTTACCCCTACTCCTCTATGGATGTCAATACCATCACTAATGCCTGAAGCACTTGTGCCAAGTATTGACAAGGCCTTTTCTTCCTCTGCTGTGAGAAGGGGAGAGTCATTGGTCCAACATGTCTCCATATAAGGTTATATTTTAGCACTTTGCAAATGGACAGCGACTCTTAAGTAGCACTTGGAACGTGTTCTCGCGCGTTCAAGTTAAGTGCATTTTTGGGAAACACACGTGGAATTGTGGTGAGCGTTCACAACCTTGCGCGTAGAGAGCGCTCTTAAGAGCTAAGATACATCATAATCGGGAAACCCGGTCCTGGGCTGCATTTCCTAAAAGCATTAAGCCTAAGTAGATCGTAAAAACCATTGTATGGCTGATCTTAGTATAACAGTCTGTTTCCCAAAAGCATCGTAACTTAAGAAGCACTTGAAAATCATCATAGATTTACAAGTGCTGTGGAGTAATCATAAAGCCCTAAATGCATAGTAAGAAGACACCTGCAGGACAACCGGCAGATTGCACCTTTAACTTTTACTCAAGTGCAATGTGATATAAGGTTATAATATAATATAAGGTTTTGATTTTACTTCTCTTTATTACTATTTTATTGTTTAAATTAATTTAAAAATAAAATAATTAAAAAGAAAATGAAAAATAAAAATACACATAAATATGTATACATAGAACAGTGCTGATAAAACATGTCTGTAATAAACTTTTTTTGTCTGTACCTGTAGAAATGTATTGGCTAGATGAAGTACAAATATTTGTGCTACTATCACCCTTAATATATACACTTTATATATTAATAATATCTAAACTTACATGTTTACGTTTGAAAATATACATCAACCATTAGTCATTCACTTCAGAAACACTTGAAAGAACTCAAAATAATTCTTATAGTGATTCATAGGGCCTTAGGCCTTGGGGGTTTCAACAAACACATGGACATCAAAAACATTAAATCAACATGGTTTTATTGATTTGAGGAATGAGCTGCTGTTGAAAATTGTTGTTCCTCTTATTAGCCTCTTTAAGACATTGTCGAATGTCTTTCAAGAGATCTCTCCTGCTGCACTAAGTCCTGACTACAACCACAGATATTCTCAAACTGCTGAGGTGTTGTGGCTGCGGTCTGGACAACTGAAAATGGAGGTTGAGTCCTGAGAGGTTTGTTTGGAGGACTAGGTGATGGTTGGTGCTGGGAGATGGCAGGTGAAACTGGCAGTCCCTCTGAGCATAAGGGACCTGACTCAGGCTCAGGTTGAGGCATCCCTACTCCTCCATGGAGGTCAATACTACCACAAATGCCATCTGAAGTATTGACAAGGCCTTTTCTTCCTCTGCTGTGAGAAGAGGAAAGTCATTGGTCCAACCACATGTTTTTTTTAATTCCCATCCTCTGCAGTGCCCTTCCTTTTTGCCAGGCTTGCAAAGTCCTGCCACTTCTTGCGGACCTCCTTCTCTGATCTCTTAACACCCCTGGTTGCAGTTAATTTTATAGCAAAGTCCTCCCATTTAGTTTTTCCTTATTTGTATGGTGTATGGTTTAAATCTTTAAATCTGCTGAAAATGACATAGTTGGTTGATCTATGGCCAGTTTAGTTGCGCTCCAACGTCAACTTTGGCTTACCCTACAGATATGCGCAATGCTGACAAATCCCCACTGTTCGATGCTCCGGTGAGTCCTAAAGGTCTTTTTGGTGATGCTGTTGGTGCTTTCTTCGAAAAGTTCACGGAAGCCCAAAAACAGTCAAAAATGAGGACGCACTTTTTGCCGAAACAATCCGAGACCAGCTTCATTCAAGGTTGTCATCAGCTCAGAGACCAGCCAGGCATCCCAGCCATCCTTATTCTCCATCTGCAGCGACGTGCCACAAGCCAGAGCCATTGGAGCAGCAGAAATCCACCAGGAAATAATGTTTCCCCATTAAGCAAGGTCCCTGTCCGCCCAGGTGCCCAGCAGAGGCCAAGCTGAGCTCCTGACAGGCAGGTGCGGAGAAAGAGGCTGCCATTTAGTTAATGTGCAGAGGAACCACTGAAACAGCAAACCTAAAAAGAGTTTGAGTTGTGCCTCAAGCCCCTTTGCCAGTTGAGGTGGGAAAAGATATAGTATGTGTTTGTGTGCTGTTCTACAGTTCTTCACTGCAGTTCACTGCAGCCGGCTGCTCTCGAAACACTCTCGCGGTGCTTTGATGCCACATGTGACAGTGACTTGGCATCGGCGCCGTCTCAAGTCGGACAAAATTGCTAACCGGCATGCACTGCTTCAAGTCAGATTGCGATCGATCCGCGCAGCGCTGCATGAAGTCGAACGCACCTATAGCCAACCTTGGTAGCGACCTTATACCCTCCCCTCATTCATTTTTTAAAGTTACACATCAGCCTTCTTAATATTCTTCAATCTATTCATTAAAAAATCTAACAAGAAAATGAGGTTAAAATAAGGTCTCTTTTCTGATTTATTATTAAAATTTTTTAGTGTATAGGGTCACTAGCGACCGGCAGTAGGCAGTAATAGCCTAGTGTAAGTATATATTTTTTCTGCACAACAATAATTAAATATCTGATGACTCAATAAATACAATTCACCTTTATACCTCAGAGTGTCACTGTTTCAGAGACATTGACGACGTGATGTTTCACTCATAATTACCACAGGCACAAAACAAAACATCATTTCAAAAAAATCTTAAGCTCAATATCTCAAAACCGATCAGAATGCAGATAGAACCTTATGATTCCAAGGCGGCGACATGTATTTTCATATCCAAATAGCCCCTTGTCACAGGCACTTTCTGAGATTCGCATTCAAAGTAGTCGTGTATCAATTCAGAGTTCTGCCATTTGGACTGGCGTTAACCCCTTACATGTTCTCGAAGTGCATGAACGCAGCACTTGCGCCCCTGAGACTCAACAGGATGCATATTATGAATTACCTGGACGACGCTGGACACGCACTCTATGGTGAGACCTATGAGACTGCTAGGATTGATGAAAGCCGCAACCTCTGTTTGCCACTTAGGATTTCTGCAAGAGAGTGTTCTCAGCATTGTGTACAGCCGAGAATGAAGTCCCAGGTGCTTGTGACATACCGGTGATCCTGTCATTTTTGCAAGACTGACTGGATGCAGGCAGCTTGCCCTCAATGCTAAAGGTCAGAGTGGTCTTTTCACAAAGGTATTGAGGGGCATTCGGTTGGGAAGCATGTGCTGATAATCAGCTTTATGTAAGGTGCAAGGTGGCTGAATCCCCCCAGCCTCGCTTGATGCCAGTTTGGGACCTATCCTTAGTGCTCAGAGCATTGTCGAGCCCACACTTTGAAACTCTTCTTACAAGCAAGTTAAGGATTCTCTCGTTTAAAACAACACTACTACTCACGTTGGTATGCGGTAAGCGGTAAGCGTGTTGGTGATATGCAGGCATTATCTGTTAATGCTGCCTGTATGGAGTTCAGGGCAAACGATTACAGTGGGGAAAAAAGTATTTAGTCAGCCACCAATTGTGCAAGTTCTCCCACTTAAAAATATGAGAGAGGCCTGTAATTTTCATCATAGGTATACCTCAACTATGAGAGACAAAATGAGAAAAAAAATCAAGAGACCGACATCAAAAGAGAATGTCTCAGGTTACTCACATGACCATGATTCTCTGAAAGGAGTGAACGAGACATTATGAAAGCAGCCATGTAAAAACTTTCTGGCTATTCCTGTTGATATTTTTCAGTAGAAAGATGCAAAAAGAAATAGTGCTAAATGCCGGCCATATATAGGTGCTGGCCTTCCTGCACTTGAGCGCTATTCGTTATTGCTAGCACAAGAGCGTTACTCAATCGAGCTTCAGCATTTAAGAGAAAGGGGCATTTACCCGTAGTGTCAAGTATGACATAATGTCTCGTTCCCTCCTCTCAAGGAACCAAGGTTATGTGAGTAACCTGAGATGTTACCTCTTAAAAAAAAAAAAGGTAAGCTCTCCAATGGCATGCACGCAGTACTGTTGAGTGTGTATTTTTGTGTTTGTTTGTTTTTTCTCCAGTGACAGCGACATTGAACATGACTGCCTCACAGCCAGGAGTCAGAGGTAAAGACGATGGGGAGGATGAAACTCCACTATATTACCACTTAGTTATCTCATCAAAATTACAAACAAACAAGCAAAAAAATCTAATGGCCTGTTCTTCTATCTTTATATTGTTTGTGATTAATAGCTGTCAGGTTGGTGAATGGACCCAACCTCTGTTCTGGAAGAGTGGAGGTTCTCCACAATGGAATCTGGGGAACAGTGTGTGATGATCTGTGGGATTCAACAGACGCGGCAGTGGTGTGTAGAGAACTGGGCTGTGGGAATGTCATAGAGGCAAAGAGCTCTGCTTATTTTGGACAAGGTTCTGGACAAATATGGTTGGATGATGTTCAGTGCCGTGGGAATGAATCTACACTGAAAAACTGTTCATCAAGTGGATGGGGATCTCATGACTGTGGTCACCAAGAAGATGCTGGAGTCATCTGCCAAGGTGAGTCAAACACATTAATACAACCGTTGTATAGCTATGATGTTTTGTGACATTTTCTCATTAGCAATACATCAGCATTTCATGATCAAAATAACATGATCTACTTTAAAGAACCAATATATCATTAAAATATTTTATTCTTTTTTTTTTTACTTTTCCAACGGCACAACAAAGTTTTCCAATTATGTACCATTTATTCCTCAATTACAGGGTCAAGCTCACCAACAGCCAGGGTTGCCAGGTTATCACAACAAAACCCACCAAATCGCTACTCAAAACTAGCCCAAAACTAGCCCAATCGCGTTCTGAGGGGTAAAATACATGTTTTTTGTTGGGGTTCCTGGAAAAATTTGCATTCCAGGGGCTAAACATCACGTTATTGGGGTCGCTTCAACC